GTTCCCTCCGCCTTACCCCAAGACGTGTACCACACCAGCACGCTCAAACAGACCAAGACACAACTGGTAAAGGATGGATTTGATCCAAACGCTGTCACGGATTCTCTGTACATTCGTGACGACTCTAAGAAGACGTACGTTCCGCTAGATTCGGACGTCTACAAGGCTATTGCCGTCGGCAAGGCAAAACTGTGAAAGAACAAAATCCCCCCAAAATTGTCAGTGGTTTAACCTTAAACTGCCGTTTTTTAAAATCATTTTATGATAGGAGACAAAGTTTGATGTTTTAAATGCGTTAGCTCACATGTGATATGCTTGGTAATTGTAATACTCAGCAGAGAACCTTGATATTATATATGGGTATAACGGTGCATATATATTTGTGCATATTATTTATATACCTGTATAGATCTGTGTAGATCTAGTGCAAAACCACCTAAAACTATATTATATGTATAACTATACGAGCGAAAAGTTAAATTATCAATATTAAAAGTGAATAAGAATAACCACACATACGCTTGTAAGGTGTCCATGTGTTTTGTTTTTTTACATATTGCATGCTTACATATTGCATGTTTACAACTTGCTTCTTGTTTACAATATTTGAAGGCGTATTTTGTAAGTCACGAATTACAGAAGAAAGTTACTAGTATGTCTAAGGTCTTGTATTGAACACGTTTCAAACAGTTCATTTTAATAGTCATAAACTGTCTGTAATGCTTTTGCGGACAGAAGAATGCCACCCTCAAGCAAACACACCTGTCCTTGGTGCTGAACACCATCCACACTCAAGCAAACGCACCTGTCCTTGGTGCTGAACACCATCCACACTCAAGCAAACGCACCTGTCCTTGGTGCTGAACACCATACACACAGGCAAATGTACCAAGTCTTGGTGCTGAACACCACTCACACATAGGAAAGCGCATTTGTCCTTGGTGCTGAACGCCATCCACACACAGGCAAACGCAGATGTCTTTAGTGCTGAACGATATGTACACGCAGGTCGTTATCCTGTATGACAAAGGAAGGGTGAAAACACGGGAAACGCTTCATTTCATCATGTTTACGTGACAACAAGTAGTGTACACTCTGAACTGTGAGAGACATCATCAGCACAAGGATCTACGTATTTCATCTTTTTTGTCAGAAGTCTGAAGGCTTTTATTTATTCATTTGTAAATTCTCCACATGAATAAGTAATGGATGGCATGGTTGAACAGGTGTTCATGTTAGGGCACCTTTTCAAAGCCACCATGCATGCCACCTTTTTGTAAACCACATCCATGGAAGCATGACCTAACATGTATGTTACCACGCCCTAACTAAAGACAACGAGATATTCCAACATTGCTTCGCTGACATTTTGTTATTGAATTTCAAGAAATGACCATATTGCAGCATGGTCTTCTGCACCTCAATTTGTCAATTCTGTTAATTTACTTTGTACAGAAGAGAGCAGAATAAATAAGATGATCTGATTGCCGATACAGGATTGGGAATGTCAAAGAAACCGCAAAAACGCGAGGTTACCCTATGCGTTCTACTAATGATTCTACGTAGCAATACTTCCAGCAGTAGTATGTTTGTATATACATAGTAATAATATTGTTTCATCAAATTTAAGATTCTTTCACCACAATATATACAGTATCAAAATCTTACATATTGCAACATTTAAGATGATAAGTACATTACACAGATATATCAAGAACCTTCAACGACCTAATGAACACCATAGACTCAAGGGTGAGTACAGTTTGTCAAAATTACGCTTTCCCCAGCTTTGTTTTCATGTAAAAGGCGCCATAAATAAACCATGGGCGTTTATCACAAGTTTGAAGACCCTCCGTTCAGGTCCAAGTACTCATTTTCTTCAGATTTTGGCACGATGTAGCCTTCATAGTCTGCATCAGCGGGAAGACCTGCCTCCCCGGGCTGTGGATCCACATACACACCCTCGTACCCTGGTATAGAACCGACCGGTGGCGGTGCGGGCGGTTCGGGGCCTTTGCTGGCATCTCCCTTGTCTTTCTCCGCCGGTGAAGTTGCATTCAATGAGGTATAAGCGCCACCTTGCGATGTGCCTTTTCTATACAGGCTGCGCTGCTGAGTTCCATCGAGCTCCATGTAGATGTCCTCTGGGTCGGCGGAGCTGTAGTAGTTGGGCTCTTCCCCCGGACGTGGCGGGACGGGTGGGGGGACGTTCGCGCCCTTCTGACTAGCCTGTGACGAGTAGGCAGGGTTTGCCACGCCGTCCTTCTTCCTTGCACTGGCTGGCTGCAGGTACACAGAGGAAAAGAAACTTATTTCCTTCGCCAAGAAGTTTGTTTATGTTCATGTAAATATTTCCAGACCTCCATAATAGGACATTGTACATTGCTAGACATGAGCAATGGGGTACATAAAGTAGGTTTATAAGTAATGTACGTATGAAAATGTTATTCCATGATTTTGGGCACATGAAAGTTGCTACGTAACACATTTCCCCTATGGAAGGAATCACCCAAGCGAAGGGAAGCGATTCATTATCCCAAAGCAAACAAGCAAATGAAAGACAAGGGCTTTACGCATTCAAACGTGTTAATGCGCTCTTTATTTGTTTCATTCACTCTTTCTTTATACTTTCAACCTTCTTTGTTCCTTTCTCGTCTAGTTTATGTCCTCCAGTTCGGTGCTTTCGACATTGGAATAGAGACGTCTAAGGTGAGACACAAAGAAATATGTATCTGTGAGCTTTAACATAAACTTGAAAAAAAAAGTAAGCACACGTACCAGGTTAGTTCTCATTGTGCTTCGTTGTCTCCTAAAAGAGCAGAGGAAAGTCACAATAAAGATGACTCATCAAGTAGCATTGTATATTGTGTAATTGCAGTAAAACAAATACGTGGGTTACAGTGATGCATTATAAATTAATAATGAAACAGTCTCACTGAAGTTAATACATTTATATCAGTAAAAGTATCTGTACACTAGATGTCAAAAGAATTCGTCTACACAAATCCACACAACAGAATGAAGCGTTCAGGAATTAGCGCTACCAACAATAATCGCTTTGCGCAACGACTGGAAACAGTTTGCGTAGTCGACTTACTTGCAGAATGAAAACTTACCCTGCAACTTTCCCAGCCCTGTAGAACAGGAATGCCACGCTGACACCTATCACTGCTAGAGCCAGAACTGCGCCCACCGCAACACCAATTATCATCGCTAGATTACCTGTACATTAACAAAAGAAGATGGAAAATCGAGTGCACAGATCTAGGGAGAAAATGATGCCAAGATGCGCACATCATTATACTGATTTATTGTTCGAAACATTTTAATTTACCTTCAAAGTTGAATGGTACATGGAAAATGCAGCAAATATCTACTATACTTTGCAAAGGGTATAGACTATGTGTTACAGATAATCTGAACTATAAGACATAAAACGGTGGATTCCATACGTAGATTTGTTATTACAACATTAGCATCTTTGTCGACAGCCGACCCGGTATATAGTAGCGGAACATGTTGATGTATAGACTCACTGTTCGATGCCGGTGGACGTGATGGTGTTGGCGTCCCTGTAACTTGGCTGGTCAAGACCGGGTTTGCGTGTGTCCGGGACATCGGACTCAGGCCGGACCCTGGATCTGTATTTGTATCTGTATAGCCGGTATAACCGCCTTTCGGCGTAACACACCAGCAGGATAAAGGCATCCAGTCATCACTCTAATATGTGAAAGATTTTCTCCGCAAGCAGCGAGCGCCCTTGTTTTATTATTTCATTATGAAATTACGTACATGAAAATGTTACTATACATGTATGTTGCAGGAAGGCGCCGGCATCTTTTGTTGTGTATAGTTTTGTAGGAGTCTTTAGTGTTTTATCTTACACGTACCCGATCCCGTGGAGTCAGTTGCAAGAAGACAGGGAGATGATCCCGACTGGTAGTCATCTATGTTAACAATTGAAAAAGATCATAAGAATCTGACAATCAGCTGAACTTTGACATGAGCATGTTTTGAAATATGTATATAAATATAAAACAATGCTACATACATGTTATGTAGAAAATTTGGTATATGAAATAACGTCGCAGTTCAACATATCTTGAACAGTAAACATTTTCACGAATAATTGAAATCATTCTTGAAAAGGCAATGTTCAATATTTGTAAGTTCTACTTAGGCCATGTTGATTTGATTATATGGATGACATCCGCGAGCGCATGAATTTTCGGCCGTTTCCAAAAAAAAAAAGAAGTTTTCAACCATACTGTAAATCGTGCAAAACAGTTGCTAAATGAGCAAAAATATACCATAAGTTGCAAGGAAAACATTTAGAAACGATACCAATGTCGTAGAATGCCAAAATCAAAGGAAAAAAGACAAAAAAGTAAAGAAATGAATTCGAAGAGTACATTATTCGCCATAACATATTCTGTGCCATTTGTTCAACATTCATGACCACGTAGATTTCATAGTGAAAGCAACTTTTTTTTTTGCAAAACTTTTTTTATTCGCACGCGCGCATCAGTTTTGGGGTTCCCAGAGGATGTCATCCATATAATCAAATCAACATGGCCTTACACATAGCCGTGCCGTCTAACTTGAAGCTAACACACGTCTGCCGAGGGTTGGAGTTACACGAGATGGCCAGCTGTAAGACTAGCCCGTCCAGACAGGGAGACAGGTGGGCGGGACCCATCCACTGCAAGAAGTCATCAACAATCATCACTCAGGAACAAAACTAAAATCAATTCTTTAACACTTCTTCTCAAACAGATCATGAGGTTCACTTAAGGTTTAATAGTGAAAAGACCAAAGATACAATCAGAAGCAAAGAATCGTAGTTGAAACGTAATCGGAAAGTTCGTCTGGGTATATGATTTTTGTCATAAATCAGACATCAACGTGTACTGTATAAAATGTTACAGAGCACAATGCCTTCAACTTATGAAAATGTATATCATGTTGAAATAAAAACACTTTCGAATTTAAAAAAAAACTTTTGAAAAACAAACTATGTATTCTGGCTGTTTGGTGTAACCATTATACTGATGGGCACCTAGACGTCTTGAAAATAGTCCATACATACATTTACATAAGGATGAGTATATAAACATTAAAGCTAATGGACCTATACCAGTAAAGCTAATGAACATCCATGGTACATAACACTAACCCTGATGTACATGTATCCATCTGAACGTGCTCTCAGCTGGAAAAATGGCCCGCTGGTCGCGCTGTAGCTGAAGATGTGGTTTAACGGCCACACCCCTCTTCTGTCCAAATAGAACTCGTCTGAGACTTGACATGACTCCGCTTGCGTCACAACATTGCCGCCGGCATGTAGAGCGATCCTGGGCTGGAGGAAAACTGACGACTGGCCGGTGGGGATTTCAAGGGTCCGGTAGAGAGCGTCTCCAACCGTTATCTGACATGTCTGGTTGTCATAATTACCTACAGACAAATAGAACACATGTCCTTTCCTTTATCATGTCAAGATGACGTTCAGCCAATGGCTAGTCTTCCAAAGTTCAAACATGAAATCATGCATATTACACATGTCACACATATCTCACGAACATAAAACGTTACTAACTATTTAAATGTTAAATTCAGTGTAACCAGTTTCCAAATAGTAGATTGTCTAAAAATGTTGTAAACTAACTACCAACACGTCATCCGAAAAAAAAGCATTCTGACTATTCCATGTACAATACACAAGTATGGCACAGTGAGTCGTGAAGGGGGGATTACAGTGTAGGTATTTTGGGTGACACCATGGCCAAACAGTGCGTAGTGTGACCCCGCCCAGTCACGGAAGACTGAATCAGACAAATGCAATGTACATGTAGTTGCAAAATGCCGGAACTTTTTATGCACATGATTACATTACTAGCGTCTTAGAACACACCTTTGATATTGCACCCACATACATGTCACATAAAAACAAACAAATTAGTGCAGACAAGTAAGAAATAACAGTGGATGCACTATTGAGTCGCGCCTTCTTGCCCAAGTCTTTTAAGATTTACCAAAGTTATTTTTGTATTACCGCGGGGCTAATGGAGGAAATGAAGTACAGCACTGTGGCAGGTTTTTGCTAGCTTCATGATTAATATTGTTCATGGGTTTTGGAGCTAACTCATACACATGGTTCACGCCATCTTCAGGAAAAAAATGGACGAAGACGGAACTATATATACCCATAACTAGTCCGATATCCCAGGTGGTTCAAAAGTAAAGTGGACGCACTACAGGTAGTAAAATATAGTCTTTTCTATCGGTCAAAACGTCCATACGTCTTGCAAACTTCCAGTTGTATAGCGTGACATGTTCAGGGACTTCTTTTGTAGTGTCTCTTTTTTGGTTCCACCTATATTTATCGGCGCGTAGTCCCCTCATTGTTCCTCTCTAAACACAGCCGGGTCTGAAGGACTTACTCAACCTTATTTTGAGTAGGCTATGACTTGTATGAGTGGATCAGTTGCCAGGACGCTAACTCACTCGCGGGTCACGCAACCACCAACGTTCTTACAAATAAACGTGCGCCCTACATTCAAGTTACTTACTGCAAACATATACTTATAGTACATAGCCCGTCCTTGTCATTACAACAGTGTAAATAATAGCATGACCTACATAGGCATTCCAGTGCAAGAATATAGCCAGTCTTTCTCCCATTGGGTTCAATGAAATAGAACGGCATAGTTTACCATGCATGCCATGGGTAAGGTGTCTGCGCCAAACAAGATTCTAAATAAACCTATACATATCGTTTTTAAAAAGTATGTCTGTCTTAAGACAAATATACGTACTAGTATTCTTACAAGGCAGCTAGCTACCTGTTATACATGTACTTCATTTTTTAACAAAAGACATGGTGACTTTCTCGAGTTCTTACCTGCGGATATATCCGTATTGCTGCACACCTGTCTCTTGACGTCGAATACGTGAGTGTTTTGTCGACACTTGCAGGCGCACTGTTCCACGCCGCCCTCAAACGTAAACTTCCCAAAGAAGTTTGCTTCCTTCGCCGAGCAGTCGTCGTGACAGTGCCGCTGGTTATTCGGTTCGACGTACTGGCAGGGATTGGTGAATATGTCGCCATCTTCTTCTCTATCGACATGGAATTGTTGATCGTAGTCGCAGTCAACAGGAGTGGCCGATACCCTTGTTAGAGCAGAGACAACCGCGATCAACGTGGTCGGTAAGAGCAGCGATGATGAAGAAAGAGGTGTTGTCCAAAGTGAATTTCCAGATACAGCTGCCATCTTTGTCTCCACCGGTTACTCCTTGAGCATTTCAGCGGTGTTGTCTGTTCCAGTCAACCGTAGAATGACGTCATTTCCGGTCAGTATACCCCGTTCGTCAGGTGTAATTTTACCCCAATTGGCATTAAAGCTTGGCTAAAGCAAACGAATAGAGTTTCTTAATACTCTTATACTAGTATATGCCAACGTTGTTAAGTGCATATGAGCATTGAAGAATTATTCTACAGCCAAGTAATTCTAGGTGTGTAAAATGACACTGTAAAACTCAGTGCTTTTCAAGGCCACAGGTGTCACAATAGCTGCCACTCTCAAACATCCCGTACAAATACTTGGTATTTACTGAAGCGGGTCGTTTGCAGCTAAGTAAGGTACTGTGGCAATTCTAGTTTTCTTTAGATTATGTACTGAATTCCGCTTTATACTTTGTACTACTTTGTACTTTGTACTTTGTACGCTTGTACTAGAAAGTTTACCTGTTAAAATACGACATACAAAAAAGGGCGTGTCCATGGAATATATACACCATCTCCAAGCAGATGTTGGGGTGTAAGATCGTATTTTTTTCCGGCAGCCAGACTTCACAGACTTCTCAGCCACTCTGAGAGTTTCGACCATTACAAAACAAAACTTGTCAAAAACCTTCCACACAACCGTGATCTGCTTGGAGATTGAATTCCCAAAATAAGTCAGACCACTCCATACGTTGCCTCTTGGCCAATCAGACAGGATTCTCATAAACACTTATGTAGTAAAACTGGATCTTTGGTGTAAATTTGTTCTGCTTCCTTCGATAAATAGTGGGTGACATACGAAAACACGATCGGCTAGTTTTGTTTAGAGTACCGGCTTACACAGGAAACACAGGTCTTGCGGAATGACCCTTGACCTAGTAATTTGCCTCATGAATATTCATGAGACTCACCTAACCACCTGTTGTACTTTGAAATAGGCGGGGGTTCCTGACGTGTCCTGATTCTGGTTCAAACTGGCGAAATCCAGTTGAAGCAACTACACGTACATTCTACAAACAGTGTTTATACATATGTGTTACATTTAATACGGTAGCATGAAAATCTTTATCATAAAATGTCTTGAATGTCACATTTTCGCAACTGGACAACAGTTTGTGAGATAGCATTTATGTGAGATAGCATTTATTATAGCATTAAAGTAAAGTATTTGTTCATAAGACTGGAACACGTCACGTGCCTGGTGAATTCCCGAGCTTGCGCTTGTGGGATTTCCCCTTCTCTTGAACACGCAGCGATCTCGTGATGCATTTGATTTTGTTCCACGTCAGAAGAATTCAAACTAAATATTTGACAGCGTGATTCGTTTTTAACCCTTTGAAAACCTAATGCTCAACTTCATATACGTTTGGAAAATTTTCCGCAAATTGACGCAAACGTGACAAGTTGCAATACATGTACAGCAGTGTAAGCAATACTGTATTTTGTTTGGTAAGGGGATTCCCAGTGAGTTGGGTACTTTCCATGTATAATCAAGTCACAGGATCAAAGCACCCAGGATCTTGTACGCAGCAAAATCATTTCGTAACAGCACAAGAGCATACAGACCAAGCATGGCGCGTTCTCTTGGTATGAGTCATCTCTCGATAATCGTCTGTTCTGTTCTGATCATCAATGGGCTCGTAGAGGGCTCTTCCAAAGAACGACAGGACAGAAAGTGCGCCGTGGACAAGTATTATGACGAGTTCACCAGGAATTGCGAGTCGTGTAGCCTGCTGTGCGAGGTGGCACGGGACACCATGGAGGAATGTGAGCGTAAATGTGGAGGTAAGTAAAATCACGTCAAGGAACATTAAATTTGGTATTTTGAAGTGTTATAGACCGTAAAAATCCATGCATTATTCCAAAACGTGAATGATTAATGAACACAGATGCTGTAACTGTGAACATTTGATTGTATGACGTAGTTACAATTTGATGCTCGCAATTAAGAAAATATACAATTAGAAGATAAGAGTAAGTGTATAAATAAGAGTCATATAATAATAATAATACGGCAACAATATTTTGGTAGGCCCCCAAATAGTTGAAACATATTATTTCGCAAACAACTGTTGGGCAAACTTTAAAACGGGCTGGTCTTGAAAATTATTTTTTCAACGTGTTTCTGGATTCTTGTTTGTCAATCTTAGCTACCTTTTTTCCAATTGCTTTTGGCCAATAACTGATTTTGATAACACTGACCCCTGCTGTTGCCCATTTAAACGAGCAATTGTTTTATGGTAATTTTCATTTTAGTGCTGGAAATTACCTTACGTAACTTTTGGGGATTTCCCAGTGGACTTTCCCCTGGGACCTCCCCCGTTGAGATTATGACGAGTGAGTTTGACTCTTAGCCAAGTCAAATAGTACGTAATGGACTCCAATTGGACAAACCTTTAACAGCAAAACTTATTGCTTTGCCACACTGGGAGGTGAATTAGACTTATCGGGGTTAGTTACGTTGGCAAGAATATGTTGCTGCCTTTCTGTAACCTTTTTGTTTGTGTTTGACAGATTACCTGGCCATTGTGCAACGGCAGACAACAACACCTGTTTACAGGCCCCGTCACGGTCACAGCGGGGGTCAAGGTCACGGTGCAGGAGAGGCAGTCCGGGTCGACAATGGTACGTAATGACTGCTGACCTTGACTTCTCACAGGTGGGGAGGGGGGTATAACGTCAACTCTCATAAAACGGTAAATTTAAAGTAATTAACTACTACAGCATCAGTAATCCCTTGAGCACTTCATGTGTTCAAGACATTCTTGAGAATTCGAAGTCCTCAATTAGCCTTGTTTATATGGTACGGTAGTGGTTTTATAGTGCCCGGAATTATAAAAATTGGAATTACGGCGCATTCATCAATTTCATGGTAACCATTACGTTGTTTGTCGTTTTCATCCACACAGTTCAAATTGCAACCCAACTAAGTGCCATCAACGACAGCCTCCGACTCATAATCTACACCCTCGTAGCCCTGACCGCGGTAGCCACACTTGCTGTGATCGGCGGAAGCTGCTACCTTCTACAGGCTAGAAGGAAGCGATTGGACGAGGAGAGTTACTACAACTCCTTCCCACCCAAATCTCCCATTGCCAATGCCGGCATTGCCGTGCAAGTGGAACCACCCACGGAAGAAAATGTGCGAGACCACCCAGAAGGAGGTAGGTTATTGCTAGAAACCTTTAACGTTGCATGTCATCCTGATCCCCTTCCAAGTTTCATTTAACCGAGTCGGACGTAACCCTTAGAATTGCCAATCCGTCAGCCCGTATTCAATGCTTCGCTGTAGCCATGGCTTTCATACAAACAAGAACAGTAGAAAAACTGAGATTGAAGTCCTAACAGTGAAAGATAAAACTCGTTTACGCAAGAAAAGGTCGCATTTACAATCTTCCTTTCCAGCCTCAAGCAAGTGATAATCAGTTGAACCCTGGTGTTAATTAAACAATACACCTTTATATCGTGCCAGGTGTAATGATAACACGAGAGTCATACAGTAATGGCTTTTCTGTACCTATCGTCTTTGTGTCTCTTCAAAGGTGAAGAAACGGTTGAGACCAACCTCTCCCTCCCGGTACAGAACGCCAGTCGCTACCCCTCACACAACCGCCTGAATGTAGAGGACGCCCTGAGGAACCAGCAAGCTCACGACGAGGGACGCAGAAGCTCATCAGAGTCTGATGTCTGAGTGGGAAATTTAAAAAAAAATCTGGGTTTTGTTGCGTAGAGATGGGGAGGATACAATTTGGTTACCCTAAACTCCATAACTAAACATTTGTGGTCATCGGTTCATACTATTAGTAAAGAATCTTGTGTACTGTTTGATTGAGAGATGAATTATTTTGTGTATTAACGGTCTGAATTGTGGTAGTTATATGTATACTTATACTATATTACGTATTTCCTATATTAGTTTTATTGTAACGATAAAGATAATGAAATCGTAGTAATTTTCTTTATAGTTTTTATGATATTGAATGCTTGTATAAAACTTCTGGATTGAAAACATTAATGAAGTTGAGATGATGCTGTGAAGCAAAATTCTGTATATTTTAGCATTAGTAAATTGCTGTATAATTTAGTTTTTGGAGTTGAGGAACAGAGGGCGTGTAAATAAGTGTTGAATGTAGTGTACAAAGCGTGTAAGTGTACTTAAAAGGTATTCCGCCAGACGTCGCTAGACGTGAATGTCTTCGTTTATATTTCTGTACATGAACGACAAAGTCATGTGCATTTTAGAACCTTCATAAGAAAAGCCCTACAATAATGTCAAGTTGTCAAATAAACAATGAGATTTACAACCCTTCGTTATGGTGTAAATGGCGATTCAAAAGAAGTATAGTTTTACCACAATCATTTGACTTCACTTGAAACAGAATACGAAGTACAGTGAAGGTCACATCACGTATACGGAATTCACAACATTGTGTGAGCGTAATGTAAACGTACTCAGATGCAGAGGCGGCAATTGAAAATTCTCTTATTATTGTGTAACATATCAGTGGGACATAAAAGGCGTGTGCACGCCTTAGGCACGTGATTTCAGGGGATTCCCATTCGCCTTCTGGGTTTTCCCGTAACACATTACCAAGAAGACGCAAGTGTCGCAGCTCAGTAAAACATACCCAGTCCAACACACACAAAATTTCAAGATGACTCACCGCATAAAAATATGGTCTAACCTCCTCCTGGTCATTTTGCTGATAGCGTCGTCAGGGCGACCTATCTCTGGCCAGGATGGCGGACAGTGCGGTGTGGACCGCTACTATGACCGGTTCACCCGAAATTGCGAGCCCTGCAGGCTGCTCTGCGAACAGGCCAGGGGCACGATGGACGAATGTCGGGAAAAGTGTCCAGGTATCTATATTTTGTACTTATTTTTACGTAATAATATTATCCAAAATATTGTACTCAAAACATCTAAATCCCGTTGGAAATGTAATTTGATTATATGCCGTCTCAATAAAAATTAAAATTCGAAACAAGATGATGATAGAAAATCAGAATTGTGTGCTACATAACGAACGTTTTAAAGTCTTAGTTTAAGTTACAGATGTCACGTTAGGCTTGGATTTCTTTGCACCTGGATGAGTGGTCTACATTCCGACCGGGACTGTGTATGTTGTACTAGCCTTGATGTTCACAGTGTGTTTGCGCTGAATGCAAGCCTGTACATGCCCGTATGCTTACACCTGCCGCCCACAGTCTGCATTCAATATGACAAATATCAAGCTTACGACCTTAAATTGCCATTTTCAAGCGCATTTTCATATTTGCGAGAAAGTATGGAAAGATGCACTTACATCACCAAAGTGCTGACAATTTTAACACTGTCAAAGACGTTTTTGTGTAGAATTCGAAAATACATGTATGCGCAATTGGGACTTTACCAATGTCATAGTGACAATGAATAGCCACGTAAGGGGATTTTTCTTACACGTGATCGATATAAGCACTGCACATACAAAGAGTAAACGTATCACCATGTATGCAAGGGGATTTCCCCTAGAGCTACGTAGAGTCTGGGACTTAAACCAACAAAGACGCAGGGAGAAGTCCCAAAAGACAATAAAATCATACACATAGATCAGGAGAATATACCACTTGCGTTAACGCTTGTCATTACAGGTTTTGTTGTCACATTATTTCTCATTTAAAATTTTTGCTAGTTCTATTCAGTAATGTTCATCATCGACTCATTTTAAGGAGGTAGGAGTTGAAACACAAATGCCTATTTAGCTTTGGATTGTAACAATGATATTGATGGTCTGCCTTACGGTTGTTACAGACTATTTGGCAAAACAGCAGACGACCCGGGCTGAACAGACGACCACCCCGGCACCCCGTCATGGGGAACACCACCGTGGTGAAGGTACACTTCTAAACTTTTAGACATCTATCTAAAGCCTCGGTCACAACTCGCCGTGCGTGCTTTTTGTCCGTACGTTTTTGTCGTGGCTACGTCTGCTACGTTTTTTCTGCAAACGTAGGGTGGCCGGCCGAGGGAGTACGTCACTCGCAAGGTGTACGTACGTGGTCTGCACGACACGCCTGACCGTCAGCGGTTGCGTGCATCGTACGTTGCGCAAGTGGTAAGTGAGTTGTACGTGCTTACAACGTACGATCTCTGTGCGATTGCCACGTTGCCGCGTACAGGCCGTACCTACACGTGCGGCGTACGCACGATTTCCTTACTCACTCGCACGTTGTAAGTGCGTGCACCTCCTGTTAACTTCATCATCACTAGCCGCCCTGGTGTCTTCCGCGGCCCGTTTCTTTGGATCTTGTCTGGTAGACTTCTTCTGAGCCTTCCTGGGCATCTTGGAGACGAGTTGGCAGTCGCCCGTCAAGTCGTCTTTATATACTGTAGAAATAAGGTGCGTTGCGCGTGCGTTGCACGTGCGGAGCACCTAGTATGGTGCACGTGTGTTCTGCGTGGTCATTGAGCAGGTCAACTGGGAAGTGAGGAGTAAGCACGGATGACGCAAGCACCGTGCGTGGCACTGACGTGCTTCGTGCGCTGTCCGTACAGCAATTGCACGTGAGAATAGTGAAGTTAGACTCACGGAGTCCGTACGTTGCACGCTCATAGGCTGTACGGGGCACGCGCGTCGCACGTACTCGCACGCACGTGTGGTAAATCCGCAGACCGCACGTAGAAAAAGTATTACATGCACTTAAGGTTCTACGGCGTGTCTGCGTGCTCCCAAATCCGTAGGATTCCGTACGGAGGCGGTACTCACCACGCACGGATGCCGTACGTTTGCCCACGTTTTTGCACGTAGACAGCACGCAGAAGCACGTACGGCGAGTTGTGACCGTCGCTTAACATGAGTGTGATATTCTGTAATACTGACTTAAATAGCTGTAAGCTACATGTACACATCGTACAGAACAATGTGGCTCGGTTAGCATCGAAACGTACCCAATTTTCATGACCGGCCACAAAAAGTACGGAACTTGCATACCAATCTTAATTATTAGAATTATCTATCTAAAATTAGAAAAAAATTAATAAACCACCTAAGTTCAAATCAAGTAATCCAATAGCCCAAAAAGGATTGTTATGACGAATTTTGGCTGTACATGTTTCTCAAAATTGCTATTTTTCGGTCTCCGTTTCAGACGCCGACGCTGGCAAAATCACACTGTCTCACCACGAGGTGATGCTGGGATTCCTCATCATGGCGGCTGTGCCTCTGGTTCTGGTGGCCGCCATTGTTGTGCTGGCGCGCGGGCTTTGTCGTCTGAACGGGCGGCCACAGACCAGGGGCGGGGACACCGAGAAGGCGATGATCTCTCTCACCTCGTCTCTGCAAGACGGCAGACTGAAGCGGGATACTCCTGACGGAGGTCTGCTTTTTGTTTTAATTTGATATATGAGTATAATAATAATAAATATACTATAATGGTTCCTATACATGGTCATAAAACGTTACTTCAGATCATGAAAACAACACTACCGATCTATGGAGTACTGCACCATGCAAATAATAAATATTGGCCCAAACTTATATCCTATGGGTTTTATAAAAAAATAGATTCATTCCTAGATGGGAGCCGTCATATGTTTTTATTGACATGGATAGAGTTGCAATACATGTACATATATGTTAATAGCTATAGAGTTGCAATACATACATGTCAATAGCTATAAGTTGAATACAATTTCAGATTGGCACGAAAAGGTGTAATATAAATTTGCATAAATCTACAGATGACGACAACCGTACGGCTCCCGGCACCCCCGTGCAGACCCTGGCCCGTCACCACTCCCGTGATGCCTTGTGTGCGGACACCGCTCTCCGCCACCAACAGGCACACGACGAGGGACGCGCAAGTCCCGGGGAACAGTCCGTCTAAAACAGCGGATTTCTTATGATGACCATCTTGGTCTTGAAACGTAGTCTAATTTAAGGCTACATACATACTGAAAAGATATTCACAGAGCTGGCATTACTTACAAGCATCTATATGATATTTTGTGTGAGTGGTAGTGTGGTATTGTTCCTAAAGCAAATACATTCAACATATAACGTTACATGTATTTCCCAATTATCCTGAGCATGTAGCGTTAACGTCGTAATTATTAATTGCATGGCTAATACAGTGTAACATAATAAAGTACAGTGACTCGGCCTTGTAATAGGGAGCTACATGTACTAGCGTTTGGTAGAAGAAAGACTGTAATATGTTACGTGGTTTTCTCTCCTGTGTGTTTTGCGATACCGGGGACTATACTTTCCGTTATTGTCAAGCTTATCGATTGCATGTACAGTGGATTATCGGTATTCTACGAGCTCTGAACATGGCTGTCAGAAAAACAAGCGCTTTGTTGAAGAATTCCTGTGAGGTACAGATCTTCAGTCCAACATGGAACATTTCTACTGCTGCCAGGGTTTCTCCCATGTTCTCTAATGCCTCCCCCAAGTCATATACACAGTCTGCGCATGCGTCGGCAACCTTCGGCCCGAACGCTGTGGCGCGGAACGATACGATAGAGCAAACTTCGCCGATGTTTTTCAATAAAGTATGCTTTACGTCTTTGTTGCCGCCAGCATTTTGTTGGAAATGCAGAGCTTCAGTGTAAAAGCGTACATAATTTATCGTGGCGTGATCCTTGCAGGCGCAGACTACACGGTCAACGGGAAGTAGTGTGGAGTATCTAAGGACACTATGGAGGCAATCCAAAGATCTTCCGTGATTGCCTTGTCTCATGTAGAAAAGGCATGCAGCCTGTGATATGATCATTCTTGGATACACTTTCGTGTCGAAGTTCGGACTTGAAGAATTCCATGCCTGTAGTTTGTTCAGTGCTGTATCGTACACTCGGTCGACGTCGACATAACGTTTCTGATTTTCCAGCAGCTTCGAATAGTTCAGCACGTAAACGGCAACGTCCCACGGTACGACCCTTCTGTCAGCTTGGAGAGATTCTTCAAACTTCTGAAATCGTTCTTCGACGGTTTTACTTTGGGCATCATCACGGGAAGTCTGGTTTTGAAGCATAAGCACTGCTTCCACCAAAAGTGGATGCAAACAGTGTATCCACCGTAGCCTGTGCTTCTCTGCTTCCTCTGGCATGGACAGCTCAGAGTACGTTTTCCACAGCAGGAAACGAGTTGGCATCTCATCTTCTCGCTTATTGAAGGGTTGAATTAACTGGAGTTCTTCCACGACGTACTTAACCGCAGTCGTGTAATCACCAAGAGCAGCCGACAATCTACTGATAACCGAACAAACTTCGCTTGAAACCTGTCTCATAATATGCCCAAGGGGATAATTACTGGACATGCGGTTCTTGTCTTCGTTAATGGCAAGGTCTAGCATTTCACGTGCTAATAGCAAATCTCTTGTGAGGTAAAATGTATGAGCAGCAACGCAATGCATTAATGTAACAAAAATAACACCCAGCCCAAACATCGGCGTACTCTTGATAATATGTTTATCCCGATGGTCGATGCCACTGATGGCACCAGATAAAAGCATCATAATACAAGTGTGAGTATCTACATATGTCATCTTTTTCAGATTCCAATAATCTTCGAAAAACTTAACCAATGTGCCACAGCAATTGACGACAGATGGGTCATCACGTAGTAGGCGAACTGAAGGAGGAATGTCGCTCAGTATCATTGATACTAAATGGGCAGTGAAAAAATCAGCTCTATATGTGTCCTTGTCAAAAGCAGAGCGAGAAATGTCAATCAAATGGCGTAACAGCTCGATCATATCACCTTTGCCTGTGACGGACGTGATGGCGGAAGCATGAACTGCTCTGTCTACCGCAGTGAGAAACTTATTCACACAGACATGTAGTGGTATTAGTGTGTACAACAACCGTCGCCAGATGACGTGGTGTTTGCGGTCAAATGTGTTGTAAACCCTGCTGTCTTTCACCGTTGTAACATTATATCCCAATAATCCTCGTTGTGCTCTGTTTGCTACGTATGTATGCAGACGTAGTTCGTCCACAATGGCAACTATTGTACTGAAATTATGGTGCGCCTCTGGCGTCAGAGCGTGGATCTGCAACAGATTTCTCAGTGTGTTATCCACACTTTCTCCGGTACAGTTGAACAATAAACCAAGTGATTCCACTACCAAACTACCTAAACGGTACAAAACCTTCTTTACATGGACCGGTCGGCCCAAAACGGGAAGGTGCTTCAAAATAGATTCCTTCGCTATGGAAAATCCTGCTAAGGATGCTAACCCCCTCTGGGCCCTAACTGTCAAACCGAGTCTTACTTGTGAGGGAAGATCGAGCAACTCCTGGACCTTACTTCTGTAAGCCTCTACCAAAGTTTGCTCACCTGAGATCAAAGTCACGTTACAGAGGACATCAGCTAGATGGTACCCTTCTTTGACTGATCGCTCGTCCTTTTGCAGCTCCGCCATTTCGCTGGGAGTCATGATGAGTTCTAAGGCGGGTTTGGACGAGGTTTGGTCCCTGCCGAGGGCTGTCTTGCTCGCCCAGGGCATGGAGCCGTCAAAACTGAATCCACAAGGTGTCGTATCGTCATAGTACCAGTCAGTTTCCTTGTTGTTGAAGTCATTGAGACTTTTGATTGCCATGGATGGCAGGATCGTCTCCCCTAGGTTTAAAACTTTCAAATGAAGCAAGTGAGTGAGGGTGCGGAAGTAGGTCTTGGTTTGATCCGTGCACTTCCCTTCTTCCACCAAAATGGCGAACTCCAGGTCCGAGTATGGCGTCATTTCCTCCCGGCATATCGACCCCATTCCTACCATGGCATACTGGCACGGAATTGGGCCTAGCGTTTCGATGCATTCTTCTACCATGTCAGCACTGAACTGCTTCATTTTGACAGTGACGTAGTGGTACAGCGACCTGACCGCTTCTGTTCGTCTTCTTTCGGCATTTCGTGCCTCTTCACTCTCTATGGGGTTGTCTTTATATATATAGGGGCAGTTGGCACGTGAAGAAAGCGTCCGAAGTTGTTCTTTGCAATAGACTCTTATCTTCTGCAGTTGTACTTTACGAGCAATGTCATCCTTGCGAGGAGAGACCGCAGTATCATGGATACCAGCCACGTACCTCATGAAGCATTTCTCCGTACGTTTGATGCGGTGCACCAGGCTCTGTCTACCGTCCCAGTCCGCACAGCGCACCAGGGCCGCGTTGTACAAGGCCGAGGCTTTGGTGAAGTCTTTACCTCCTTTACTGAGCCGTCCCTTCTCGAGATAGACATCACCGATGCTTTTTAAGACAGAAATCTCTAACAGGCTATCATCATCCTCTAATGCTTGCTGAAGTATCTGCGGCAGAGTCGCGATATATATGCCACATAAACGAGAACTACGCTATCCAAACTTTCGCCTTGTCATTGGGCACAGGTCCAGGACTGCCCGCTCGCAGGCATGAAGTTCCCTTTTGATGACAGTTTCTGTCATGTGAAACAATTGGAAGCAACCTAGAAACAAACGCTTTTCTGTCTAGAAATGACTATGGGACTTCCCCCAACATGACAGTGTATTTAAAAAATACATAAAGATGACCTCTACCCATGCCCCTGTTCAGTTGTTCAGTTGTATGTTCCTGCATTATGTATCTCAGATGAGAGGAAAGTTGGAAAGGTTTTGATACGATAGAGAAGAGAGAGAGAGACTCAAAATGCCAAATAGCTGCTATGATAGTCTCTCGGGCTACAAGAGGAGAATTTACAAGCTACATTGCAATGCAGCAAGGTCCTGTGTCAAAACGGACCCTTTCCCTTGCTCTCGGGTCTTCCCTTGCCCGCTGTGCGTCTTTGCTCGGTCTCCACATTAACAGCGAACACACAAGAAATACAGTCCTCCCTTTGTATCGCCACAAAGTATGGAAACATATTTTAATGACATACATTTTAATCTCTATATACAGCATTGCAATATCATTATGATTATTATTCGTGATAATCGAGTCCATTGCATCAAGTTCACAAGGAAGTTTCCCTTATGACCACCATTGTTTCATGATTTTGAGCAGAGGCTGTGTTCGATTCTTCTCGCTCTGCAGCCATCAGAGACAGCCGGGTGCCGTCGGTTTCACGTCCGCCGACTTTGTCCTCTGTTTGTGCGGGTTGAAACACGCGCAGGTGAAGTAGATACGGCAGCAGCCCGGCTAGCACCAAGCAGCCACCGCCTTCCAACAGGGTGGCGTCGAAACTGCCTGTGATATCACGCAGCCAACCTGTTTGATACAAATAAAGGCAACATAAAATACAAAATCATAAAAACGTCAACCATGTTTCAAAAACATCAACATGATGACATATGTATTAGCTGGATATGTTGCTAGCATGCAGAGCAAGGAAACAAAAAGTTCTACAGACCTAATATACAAGTGAAGTTTGGAAAAAATACATCACTAACCACAGCCAAAGAGCCATCAATAAGCCAAGATGCATAGATCAAGGCCTAGGACTTTGGCTACTAATGACGGTATACTACTACTACTTTAAAAAATACTAGTATCATGATATGTGAGCGTCTGCTGAAAGAATACTCACCTGAAAAGGGTGGTCCTGCAAGGTTTCCTATCCCTCGCAAGAACATAATGATCCCGAGAGCGCTGGACATCCTGTTGGCTCCCCCGATTTCTGCAATAGCAGAGTACAGGAGCGGCACACACCCGCCCATGAGTAGACCATAGGACGCACTGTACACCGCCATGGTGACGTAGTTCTTCGCAAGCGGCGCGAACAAGGTGATGAAGCCCATGAGAAACGAGTTCATAGCGAACTGGTCCACCCGTCTGAACCTCGGCCACTCCGGCAGCAGACCCACCGACCCTCGGCCCACGATGTCTCCTATGGCCAGGATGGACAGCAGAAAAGCCGAGGGATACTCTTCCACCCCGAAGGCCCGCGCGCGTGGAACGATGTAGATGTTAGGAACAAACCGGCCGAATCCGAACAGAAAAACGGCGAGGCAAAACAACAAAAAACGTGACTCTGTCAGCAGACTGATATCCAGGACAGAGCCTATTTTGTCTAAGATAACTTTGCTTAAAGAATACTTCTCTCTCGTGAAGTTTACACTTGTATTGTTTCCTGACAATCTACTACTTTGTGTTGAAGAATCGTTGACCTTTTCTGGAGTTCTACTCGTGGTGACGACGTCGCTTTTAAGCACAATGGGCCTTACTAACGCCCCGAACCCGGCTACCTGTAGAACGATCCCTCCGATGATAACTAAAGCACCCCTCCAAGTGTACTCGTCCATCAGGTACTGGAATAAAGGAGGGAACGCGAAAGACACGACGCTGGCACCTATAGCGGCGATACTGTTGGCGCGGAGTCTGTGAGTGGTGAAATATCGTCCTATTGTTGCCATAGTAGTCATCAAGGACAGGGAGTTTCCAAACCCTGCAGATGGGGGGGAAGGAGGGTAGGGTGGGGAATCATCTAGTATGTGATAAAACGTAAACGGTTATCAAATTCATTAGATATACATGATTTCGATATCGACTCCGAAGGACTACCAAGCATGATTTTGATATCTTTGTTACAATGTTAGTCTACAGTGAAAAAAGTCTAATGTAAGTTCTATCAGTAATGATAATGCAATTCAGTACTAGTAAATAGTCCACATTCAGTACTAGTAAATATATAGTTAACAGCCATGGATATAGTAAATGGTATAGTTTAGAGTCCTTCGCAAGTAACAAATGAGACAAACGGCACCTGTCATAAACCCAGCAGTGACGTAAAGATGAAAGAGTGATGTGGCCCACAGACTGAGCACGAATCCTGCCGAAGATATCACTCCGCCGGCCATGACCACCACTCTGCATCCAAACCTGTTGCTCAGAGCTCCAGCGATTGGTGCTAGGGAGGAGTGTTTAAAAAATGGGGGGTTAGGAGTGTGTGTGTGTGATCTGTGACCGTAATCTGTGCTATTTGGCCAAAGTACAGTAGTTCATTTAAGCGATGTCCATTTCAGTACCATGGAAAGCCACCATGCTCCAAAATCTAGTAACTTTCTTCGTTCATATCAAAGAAACATACCAACATTTAAAATTGGATGACAATCTATCCTTAGCTTCTTGATTTATGATGCTAAAAGAAATAAATAACGTTACTGGAGACAAACATA